CTACTACATAATCCAGGAGCCTCTGACACACAGGGCTCCACCCCACAAGACATACAGTATCGTACATACATGCTCATATAAATAATCATTATAACAGACATCAACCACAGTCTAGTAAATCCAAATATTATATAAGTTTACAGAATTTCTCAAATTCCTTACATTTGTCCAAGAGGATGTCCACGATCCTCACTTGATTCCAACAGCAGCACAACCCAGCTACTCCGTAGCAAATATCCAGCTACTGTGCACCACTCCTAGAATCTCCTGTGAGGGGTTTAGTACATTTAAAATATAAAACGTGAACGAAAGGCCCAGTAGGATATAATTGGAAATAAACGTTATAAATAAATGAATAATAAATGTGCAAGGGAATACATAAATGAATAAGTAAATAAAATAAGACGTTCAGTCCTGACAGAACAGCCGAAACCTCGTATCCTTTTTCTCAAAGGAAATGTAACTGTAAATAACCGTTTTACAGGCTTCAGCAATAATTAATACAAATTACTTACCTAACCAAGTGCCTCGCCTACCCGGACTGAGTTTCGAGTTCTGCCCCCGAGGATGCACTCTCCGCATCCTATCTAGGCTTACAGCAATAGACTCTATTACCAGTTCACAAGATCTCTTTGCTTAAGAAATCATTCATTAACATTCTAAAATCATTTTTATGACCCCACGAACTACTCAAGCCGCGGGCCCCATGACTGGACAAGCCATGAGGTTCCATGACTAAACAAGCCATGGTTTTCAAAACATTTTTCTTTCGCAAACCAATCCCTTTCTTTAAAACATTTTCAAGGCCGAAATCCCTGGTGAAAACAGGCTCACAAGGAAAAGGGATAGAAATCCTACCTCGCACTATCAAACCAGGGACTAGCGTTGCCTTGTCCGGCTTCCGCTTCCTCAAGCCCCTTCAGTCTGAATCTTCAGCGATCACTGATGCAAAACAACACTTTAGGATTAATTCTCATAACTAAAGTAATCCAAATCTCAATTCCCAACCAAGATTTCCTATTAGTGTGCCCTAATCCATTTTCATGTTTCAAATTATCATTCCAAGGGTTTTCAACCTCAAAACAAGGATTAACAATGCTAATCCATTTATCTCAAGTCCCCAAAAGAAGCTAATTTGGGTTCTCCCCGAAAACAGGGGTTAAAACAACATTTTCAGGCCAAACAGGGTCAAACCCTGTGTCAACCGGTCGACCGATGATAGAGCAGTGCAACACTACCGGTCAACCGGTAGTGTGCACACCGGTCGACCGGTCAGCCTTACAGTCCGGTCGACCGCATAGGTCGACCGATTTCCATGTGATCCGGTCGACCGCACTGGTCGACCGGTGGAATCAGCTGCGCAAGAGAAGGTCACGGAAATCAATCCAAAACCCGCAAATCCAGTCCCAAATCGAGATTTTTCAAAGGGAAACCACTAGATCTGGGTTCTAGGTCCTAAAATAAGTCCAAAGAACCCAAGATCTCCAATTTCTACTTTAGTTTTACTCAAAAACCATCAAAATCCGGTTTGAACCAAAATTAAGTTTTGAAATCCAAAAACTTGAGATTCTAGAGAGGTTCTTTCAGTAATCTTACCTCGAATCCTTCTCTTGACGTTGAAAACTTCTTTAAATCTTTACTTGGTTCAAGATCCGTTTGATTTGGGACAAAAATGAGAGAGAGTGTGTGTGTGTGTGAGAGAGCACGGGAGAGTGAGAGAAAGAGTGAGGGAGAGTGACGCACGGGAAAGGAAGGGAAAAAGAAAGGAAAAGGAAAAAGGAAAAAGAAAAGAAAAGGAAAAGGAAGGAAAAGGACATGTGTACAGTATTTTAAACAACGGTCCAGAAATGCGCTCATACACACTTCTGGTTTAAAAGAAATTACTGAGAATACTTCAAATACCTTGGAACTATTTAAACTCACACGTGTCAGAAACATTTATTAATTAAACTCAATTAATAATCCAGATTAGGCACACTAATAATCTCAATTATCTTAATTAATCTCAATTAATTCTTCAGGGTGTTACAAGTATACTCATGTCATAGTTTTCTGATTGTTCTTTCCATCTCGCGCCATTCTTTTCATCTGTCACAATAGTTAGAAATAGGCGAGGACGGGGCCGAGGGACCGCGGAGACGGGGGTCGATAACAAATAATTTTTCAGAGATTGGATTTATGTTTGTTTGCTCTCCAGAAGTTTAAAGAAACCCCATCAAATTGGAATAATCGTTTAAGGTAATTTCACACAAAAAAATAAAATCAAAATCAAACCTCTGAGAGGAAGCCAAACCAAAACCGGCCAATGTAAAAGCAATTTTCCAGCCTGCAACCACATACCCGTAAGCCTATCTTTGTTGGATTTTCTGAGAGGGATGATCTGAAAAAATGAAATGGAGATCATAAAGGGAAGAGAGAGATCAAGAGGGAGTAAACGAACAAAGATAAGTGTGGGGGTGGTTTTTATTATTATTATGATTTGTTAAATCCCAATTTGGATTTAAACAAAAAAGACAATTAAGTGTGTTTTAATATAAAAAAAAAGACTAGCATGTGCCCTTGAAAATAGTCATGTGACAAGCACGTGATCCATTCAGTCTAAAAATTTAACACCGTCATCAATTGAACTAGAATTGTAAAGAATTTCAAGTTGCAAGAGCTAATCACTAAAAAAAATGATTAAGAACTAATCTGTCAATTAAAAAAAGTTGAGGAGGGTCCATGCAAAATTAATTTCGTCTCGGAAACTTGTGATCGTACTTTTGTCGTTTGTTGAAGGCACATCATAATTATTTGTTGCATTGCATTGAAATGTCATATTTGAGTATTGTTTTATTAGTTAAGAGGTATCCTTTGTTAAAAGCGTTAAAAAATAATAGTTGGACCAGTCAAATTTTAAAAATAAAAAAATAACACATATATTTATGAGAGAAAATATTATAATAAAAAAGACGAATTTAAATTTTTGTGATAAAAAATTTATAGTAATAAAAATTGAGTTATGAAAAAAAAATAAAGTCATAATCAAATTTTAACTTAATTGCTATTGGAAAATTTGTTAAAATTAAGAAATCTCTTAAGGACTTGTTAAAAAATACAAATTAAAAGATTAAATTCTAAAATACTTTAAATTCGTAATTTTATTTGTAATAGGACATGTATTTTACTCCGTTAGTAGAGCACATTAATAAAAATTCTTAGATGAAAATATCACAGTTGAAAAGATATTTTAATACTATCGTTTTAACTCTGGGTGTCAATTAAAGAAGGGTTTTTAACACATTTGCTTTTTAAACTTGTCATGATTTAGTAAATTATCCTCAAATTTTTAATTTTGACAAGTTAAAATTGTTGTAATATGACCCATTTTGATAACAATTGTGTTAAATTAGTGTAAAAAATGGACGTTAAACCAAAAATTTTAATCTTTCAATTCAAATTAACGCAAATATTTTAATATTTTAACTTTTAATTCCTTAAATCTAATAAAAAAAATTTAATTAAATGGGACACATTATCATAAATTTATAAATTCAGAGATAACTTATCATAATTAAAATTTTAAGGAATAATCAACGCTCCAAAAGGCCATTAACGAGTTTTTTAATTATAATGAGACCCACCGTCTTCTTTCTTTTTTCTTTTTTTACCTCACATGACGCCGTAACTCCTCTCTTCACATCTTTTGCCTTCTTCCGTTCCCTTTCTCCCTGAACACGCTAACTCCGTATTTAGATGAGATGAGACCCTTTAAAATTTAAAAGTAGATGATTGACCAAAGCTGATGGACAAAAGGGTAAAGCTCCTCAATGGTATACACGAAGAAAAAAAAAACTTCCCCCCTTTTTAATTCCCCAGAAAAAAATAAATTTTTTTTTTTTTTTTTTTTTTTTTTCTATTGATAAAGCACTCCAATAATATTTTAATTTTTTTGGCTACTGCTCTAATAGCCTTTGATTTGATATAAGATGTTACGCACTTTCATTCACGAAATCCCTATTTGTCCCGTATAAATTCCCATGGGCTCCACAGGGATAAATCCCCCGTGGAACACAAAAGGGTTTTCCTTCATATTATCATATATTAATTGGCTAAAACATAAATTGGTCAGTGGAAATTTGACTTGATGGAATCAAAGCCAACAAAATGGCATAATTTTTTTTTTACCGATAATTCATTCATTTTTCACTTTCCTCACTTATAATATAGTCCATAGAGACTCATTTAGGCCTCGTTCACTTCACGAATTTAAGTTTTCAATTTAAATTGAGATGTGATATTTTTTTAGAGTTTTTAATTATAATAAAAAAAATTAGATGTGATAATTTTTAAAAAATTTAACTATAAAAATTTAAAATTAAAAACTTAAATTAGTAAAATAAAAGATGCCTTAATTTTTAAAAAAAAAAAAAAAAAAAAAAAAAAAAAAAAAAAAAAAAAACTGAACAACTGGAACAGAGACTGAAACCCTAGATAAACGGGCAAAAGAGATCCAATACACCACGACCCTTGATAGTGCGCATAATTTTGGTTGTCTCGGGTGAAGGCCCATGGAAAATTCTACAAATGACAACACGAATAAATAACAAGACCATTAAAAAAGAAACATTATTCCATAAGACATGACGTGTGGAATAACAAAACGAAAGAGTTTTTTTAAAAAAAGTCGTCGACTGCATTTCCTTCGCACCCAAGTTCCGCACTATTTCTCTTTCTTTTAAATAATTTTGGTTGTCTCGGGTGAAGGCCCATGGAAAATTCTACAAATGACAACACGAATAAATAACAAGACCATTAAAAAAGAAACATTATTCCATAAGACATGACGTGTGGAATAACAAAACGAAAGAGTTTTTTTAAAAAAAGTCGTCGACTGCATTTCCTTCGCACCCAAGTTCCGCACTATTTCTCTTTCTTTTAAAAATTTTTTTTTTAAAAAAAAAAAAAAAAAAAAAAAAAAAAAACCTCGTCGTCTTATCCGGTAGTAAACTCGGTAAAGATGACGAGAAAAAAGCATCTCCCTGGGTGTATATATAGACACAGGAAAGACAATAAATTTACGCAACTCAGACGAATCAGGAACAAGAAAAGACTTGACAGTCAAAACCAAAGCTTGATCCACACTCTACAGGCTCATCAATGGCGAACGGCGATGTCAATGGCGTCTCTCATGACTTATCGGCGCTCTTCTCCTCCGACCCGAGGGACTTCCTTGTCCGCAACAACGGCGACAAGGTACGACTCTCGCATAAACCAATTTTGATTACTCGATTATTTTAAAAATCGTATTTTTGTTCGATTTTCGTTTGTTTTTGCTTTGTTTGTGATTATAACAGGAAGTCCTTGTTTCTAAGGAAGTTCTTTGATTGATCGGTTTTTTTATTATTTTTTTAATTATTTTCGATGTTCTTAGGTTAAAATTAGCTCTTTTTTTTTTCATGTTCAACTTGATTACCTAATTGCTTTTCGTATATTATGCTGAATTAGAACTTTAATTGAATAAAATGGTAGAACGAGCCTATTCGATGATGATCAGATGATTTTCGATGTTCATTTCTGGCTTCATTCTAAGGTCTATGTACTAGTCTAAAGAAGGTGTTTTGATTGATGATCGACCAAATTCTGGTTATTTTGGTTGTTTTATGATGATCAGATGGTTTTCGATGTACATTTCTGGCTTCATTGTAAGGCTTTGGGTTCAAATTGATTACAATTTTAATTGGATAAAACGGTAGAAGGAACCAATTCGATGCTGATCAGATGGTTTTCAATCTCGGTTTATGTACTAGTCTGAAAAGGTTTTTTGATTGTTTGATAAAATTTTGTTGTTTTTTCTTTTGGTGATTTTAGGTTACAATTAGTAGCTTGAGTGGGAAAGTAGTGGCAATATATTTTTCTGGATCATGGTGCGGTCCATGCCGCCGTTTCACTCCCAAGTTGGTTGAAGTCTACCAAGAAGTCGCACCGAAAGGCGACTTTGAAGTGGTGTTTGTGTCTTCTGATAGAGATGAGGAGTCATTCAATGACTACTTCTCTGAAATGCCATGGCTTGCCATCCCCTTTTCTGATTCGGACACAAGGAAGCACTTGAAGGAGTTGTTCAAAGTGAGGGGGATTCCTAATCTTGTAATCATCGACTCGAATGGTGAGGTTACCACTGAGAATGGGACTATGGTTGTGATGGAATATGGAGTTGATGGCTATCCGTTCACCTGTGAAAGAATCAACTTCTTGAAAGAGGTAGAAGAGGCAACAAAGAGGAATCAATCCTTGAGTTCTATCTTGGTCTCTCGCTCTCGTAATTATCTGGTCTCAAACAACGGGAATCAGGTAAAGGTTTTTGTTATTAACATTATTGGGCTAGCTCTACTTTTTATTTTTATTAAGTGAATGAAATAACTGATGATCTTTTAATGTATGTATCGACAGGTTCCAGTGTCTGCGCTCGAAGGGAAAATGGTTGGCCTCTATTTCTCAATGAGTTCTCACGAGCCATGTGTTGAATTTACTTCAACACTTGTGGATGTTTACAATAAACTCAAGGAGAAAGGTGAGAACTTTGAGGTTGTCTTAATACCTCTGGACTATGAAGAAGAAGAGCACAAACAAGGGTTTGAGGCGATGCCATGGTTAGCTTTGCCTTTCAAGGACAAAAGCTGTGAAAAGCTTGTGCGTTACTTTGAGCTCGAGACCATTCCTACACTGGTTATAATAGGCCCAGATGGCAAGACTTTGGACCCCAATGTAGCTGAACGCATTGAAGAACATGGCATTGACGCCTACCCCTTCACACCTGAGAAGCTCGCCGAGCTTGCCGAGTTTGAGAAAGCGAAAGAAGCATCGCAGACATTGGAGTCACTGTTGGTTTCTGGAGATAAAGATTTTGTAATTGGAAAGAATGATTCCAAGGTACACTTGCTTCATTCTTCTACCTCTAAATTTGTGTGTGTGTGTTTTTTTTTTCTTAATAGTTTTTCTTGTCAGTTACGTATGGTATATTGTAAGACTCAGATATACAATCCTGCCTTTGATTAGGTACCCGTGTCAGAACTTGTTGGAAAGAACGTTCTGCTCTATTTCTCAGCTCACTGGTGCCCACCTTGCCGTGGATTCACGCCTAAGCTGAACAAGATATATCATGAAATTAAAGAAAAAGACAATCAATTTGAAGTGATCTTCATCTCAAGCGACAGTGATCAGTCCTCCTTCGATGAATATTTCTCTAGCATGCCTTGGCTGGCCCTTCCTTATGGTGATGAGAGAAAGAAACTCTTGGACCGCAAATTCAAAATTGAAGCCATTCCTGCAGCTATAGCCATTGGCTCCTCTGGTCGAACGGTCACAAAGGAAGCGCGAGATCTCATAGGCGTTCATGGGGCCAATGCTTACCCATTTACTGAAGAACATCTGAAGCATTTGGAGGAACAGGCTGAAGAACAGGCAAAGGGGTGGCCTCAGAAATTGAAGCATGAGCTCCATGATGAACACGAGCTTGTACTTACTCGTCGCAATGTATATTGCTGTGATGCGTGTGATGAAACAGGACATGGATGGTCCTTCTACTGTGGGGAATGTGATTTTGATCTCCATCCAAAGTGCGCTTTGGAAAAAAATGAAGAGGCAAAGGATGAGCCGACGACAATGGAGGGATATGTTTGTGAAGGTGATGTGTGCCGCAAAGTTTGATAAACCACCTAGAAGTTTGCTATGTATTTATCTGGTTTGCGTCTTCTGGCGTCTGGTATTTTTCTCTCGTCATATAAGAGCATTATAATGCGTGGATACAAGTGCGACGTTTACTTTTCATAAATGTTAATTAGGCTTTCTATGTGACTGTTTAGGCTCCGTAGTAGTCGTTTGAGTGTAATGTTGTGGGCTTTATTTATGTGGAAAAGAAAATTATGTTGTGAGACGCTGAATTATCTTTTGTTCGTCATTCTTGTTTATACTCGAAGAAAACGTTTGGTATATGGGTTTTTTATGGGTTTAAATTAATGATTTTAATTTTATTATAGTATTTTTCTCTCATAAAAATTACTAATTTAAACCCATATACCAAACGGGCATACAGTTTTGCACACACCAAGGCAGTACAATTTCCAGTTGTATCTCACATTGTCGGTTGTTTACTAGTTTTATTTTATCATTTTGTTGTTGTTGTTGTTTTTTTCTTTTGAATTATGTATTTTTCGAACTTTCTGTCTTCTATAACTTGGGGTCGTTTGTCATGTTTGTCATGTCGTCTGTTGTTCTGATTTTGTTCTTGATTGACTCCGTCTTTACCATATTGTCATTTTTGTGTTTTTCCATTGAGTCCACGGTCCATCATTAAACTCTGTTGTTATTTTTAGATGGTTGTTGTTTTCAGAATTTATATTCTCACAATGGACGTGAATTCTGTGATTTTTAAGGATTCGTTGTTTAAACTTATAATTCTGATTATGTTATAATATTTTTTTCTCATAAAAAAATTATCGTCAATAGTAACTTCACAAAATTTGAATTCAGAATTAAAATCACTTATTTAAATGCGCTAACCAAACGAGTTATAAGTTTTTATTTTTTGATTTGTTCCAACTATAGGCCGTTTTCTTGTTTCCGTCGTTTTTCTTGTTCATTTATGTCGTTGGAAATTTTGCTTTCTTTTTGTAAATTAGTCTCTTTCAGATTTTTTTATTATTATTATTTTGTTTTTATAATTAGTCTCTTTCAGATGTTCTCCAAAGGATGCTGCCATGTGCAATTTTTTTTTTTATTGTTTTCTTTTTTAAGTAGTTTTCAGGTATTCTTTACCTAATACCTACTATAGTTTTTATCGTTTTTGCCGTCCGTGTCTTTTTTTTATTTTTTTCCAAATGTCACTTATTGATTTATGATTCATTTAATTCAAGCATTCAGGTTATTAATTTTGATTTTAAATTTAAATTTTGTGAGAGAATTATTAATGAGAACTTTTTTAAAATTTTTTTTGTGAGTGAGCAGTATTAAAATTATGGGTTGAAGTCCTTAAATAGAACCAAATGAATTAGTGATTTTGTTGTTCATCTTTTATGATATATATTTTTTTAATACTTCTTTTTATCCAGCTTAGTCTTTTTAGTTGTGTTAATCACTTCTACTTTAATAGTTCTGTTAGTCTTTGAACTTTAAGTGTATTGATATTTTGGTCTTTAAATTTAATTTAAGCATATTTAGTTCTTAAACTCACTTTTTAACCCTTTTTGTCTTGACAATAAAATTAACGAACGACTTTTGACATTTAACAAAGCAATTTAGAATTTTATATAAAAAAACTATGTATATACAAAATTTTCTCTCTGTTATTATTCAAACCAATTAAAAATTATAATATTTTACACATGTTCTAACTATTTATGAATTTTTGTTTATTATACGTAATGATGTGATTATCTAGACTACATTTTAGAAAGCGTTGTTAATTTTACAGACAAGGACTTAAATTGTCAAAAAAAATGAATGTTGAGGGATTAAGGTCCCGTTCATTTCACCGATTTGAGTTTAGAATTTGAGCTTTTCTACAGTAGGTGCCCGTTTAGTTTGATGATTCGAGTTTTTAATTTGAGTTGAGATGTGACTTTATGTGAGAGCTTTTTACTGTTATGAAAAAAGTTAAATGTGACTGTTTCTTAAAACTTTTTACTGTAACAAAACTCAAATTCTAAATTCGAATCGGTGAAATGAACGAGGCCTAAAAAACTCTATGAAACAGTCACATTTAACTTTTTTATTATAATAAAAAGTTCTCAAATAAAATTAAATCTCAACTTAAATTAAAAATTCAAATCAACGAATTAAATGGCCTTAAATATTTTAAGAGACTGACCATCTACCACCCAGCGCTGAGGGCTGACTTCTGGCGCAGGAACATCTTTAACCCTAGGCCAGATTTGTGCGCCAGCCTGTCAGGGCTGGCGCATAGCTACAGTGACGTGCCCCATGCGTTAGAATTAACGTACTTTTTTTTAAAAAAAAATTTAGTTTAAAGGCCAAATGTTATTTAAAATTCTTATTTTATTCTCCAAGTTTATAATTTTGACTAAAATGTTTTCCATTTTGCCACCAAAGAAACGCAAACTATTCTTTTTTATCCCAGTTTTATATTTTCATGATTTTGGTTAAATCAATATTTTTTAGTTAAAATGAAGCAAAATTAATATGTAATATATGTACGTAATTGGTGAAATAGATTAATGTGACATTTGGTAAGTGGATTCGTACCCTGATTCGAATCATGATTCATGATTCGTTACAGTATTTTCTCTCATAAAAGATACAAGTAAATCAAAAATTGTTATAATCTCATGATTTTAATCCATGAACCAAACGTCACCTAAATGGTTAGGAATTATATAAAAAAAAAATAAAAAAGGAATATATTAAGAATATTCCTTGTAGAGTAAAATTTAAAATAAATGGATTGGAAATGAACTTTTCAAGTGACGTGAAATTATTTTATTTTAGAATGATGCTCTCCGTGTGTATTAGAGCCTTGTCAAAAAATAATTTTAATTTGCAGTATATTTGTTAAATTTCTCTGTACAACTCTGCATAGACAGTTTCTCTTGGGTTTGACCATGGAAGTGGTGCGTTTGGCTCGGTAAAGGGAAGATCCAAGCTTGGGTCCGGCCATGGAAGTGGTGGGTGTTCAATAGCCAATTTACGATTATATCCCCTCGCAGAAGCTCACATGACATGAGAAGTCACGTGGTATGTTCTGTGAAGAAATTAACGGTCGTGGACGGAAAGGTATGAATTGCAACAGTCTAAAAAAGGTTGTGGATTGTTTCGTTAAAATTAAAAAAAAATAGAGATTAAGAGCATGTTTAGTTCATAGATTAGAACCATAAGATTAAAATTATTTTCGATTTACGTGTATTTTTTGTGAGAGAAAATACTGTAGCGAACCATGAACCATGATTCGAATCAGAGAACGAATCCTCCAACCAAATAGGCTTTAAAATGTCTAAATAAATTGAGGACTATTTATGCTAATTACTTTATAATTTAGATCTTTTTAGATTTGTTGCGGTTTTCAAATTTTGTTTTACTTGAACGACAATAAAATAGAAAAATAAAATCATATATGAAAACAACTAGAACGTTTTAAACGAGAACATCTCTCTATGGATCATTGAATACTTTGAAAGCGCATCTACACGCAACAATAAATCTAAAATATTTCACAAAACGGGGATAAAATAAGGATAAGAACAGTCCTCAAATGGCTTGAGCCGACCCTTAAAGGACCTAAGGAACAAAAAAATAGAGAATTTATTTTTGAGGGTATATGAGCCTAAATTTTTACCTCTTACTTTTAATAAATACTATTTTGTAAGTGTAATTATTTGATTAAAAATGTTATGAATCAAGGGTAAAAGATAAAAATTCAGACCCATACACTTTTAAAGTATTTGTCAAGATTACTCCCTAAGAAATGACATGAACCATGTACAAAAAAATCCGACAAATGAGGATAACTTCAAGAAATGACGAATTTTTGGTTTTTGCAAAGGAAAATATGTTGAAAAATGAAAGAGACTATGAAAAGCTAACTATAACTAGAGGTGTAAGTTTGTTGACGCACGGCCAGTAGCCTGACCCTAAAAGAGAGAGAGTCGGCTTAGCCCGGCCCTAAAAGAGAGAGAGAGACGACTTAGCCGACCCTAAGCTTAAAAAATGTAAGGCCGGCCTGGCTCGATATTTTATAAGGTACTTAAAAAAATCTTTAAAAATATAATATTTAACCGAGTTGGATCGATCCTAAAGGAGAGAAGGTTGGCCCAGCCCAATTCTAAACTTAAAAAATAGGGAGAAAGAGGAAAATAGGCCAAGACTTGAGATGAATTAAAATTAATAGGCCAATAATTTATATAAGTTAATAAATATGCCAAATTACTGTTTTCGTCTATAACTTATCTGGTTATGAACCATAACTTGACAAGTTATTCACAGTTTTTGTCCATAACTTGTCTGCCTATGAACCATAACTTGACAAGTTTGTCTATAACTTATCTGGTTATGAACCATAACTTGACAAGTTATGGCCTATTAATTTCTATAACTAAAAATTAGCCTATATACTTTCTTAAGCTTTTCATATTGGCCTATTTTTTACTGTTTTCCTAAAAAATTTAGAATTAAATCGTGCCGGACCTCAAGTTGACCCATTTAACAGGGTCCAAACTTGCAACTCTAACTCTAACATATTAACGGCGCCACTCTCATTTTAGTATAGAGAACTGCGTTACACTCAAAAATTTTATAAACGACAATACTTTATGAAAGGATGCTCGTTCTCTTTTAAGGAAACGACGCTCGTTATTAAACGACAGCATTGTATTCAATTTTAGATGACACACTCACTGACAAACGACAACAACAGTGTACATAATAAAAACGACAATTGAGACGCGTAACGGCCCAGAGACCTGGCTCGTCGCACCTCGTCCAGTCGTTAGTCGTTAGCTCATTCGCACGTGGGGCCGATACACTTTTGCCGATCACCGCTAGATTCGGTTTTTCTAATCCAACGGTCATTGATAGAAGATCGTTAAAGCCGTGGCGTGGTGTAACAAGTGGGAGACTTTTGTTTTAGCACTTTCCGTATTGCCCACGTGTGTCACGTGACAGTCTTCTCCGAAAGTAATTCCTTACCCATCACCGAATCTGGTACTCAGCTTCCTCATTAATCAACACCGGAATGAATATTCCTCCTATTAAAACACCAGCTTGGTAAGTTATTTTCCTTTTTTTTTTAATATTTGAAGTGAATTTCCTTGAATTATATATTTCTTGGGTTTTTTTTTCTGAATAATTATATATTTCCCGGTTAAAATAATTGGATTATTGTTTCATTTGCCGTTGAGCTCTCTCTTTCCTTGATTATTGGATTTCAGTGCCTATAAGTAATGAGACGTTATTATTATTATTATTATTATTATTATTATTATTATTATTATTATATGATATTTATTAAAGCACTTGATAATTGGTGCAGTTGTAATGGCTAAGATTGAGATGAAAAGAAGAAGTGTAGAAATTCAAGAAAAGGAAAGAAATGGAAGCTCCAAGGAATTTAACATGGCAGTTCCTAAATTTTTGGTGCAACTACCTCACAAGCTTCAAAATTCTCTCAAGGCAAGTACTTTGGTTAAAAAAAAAAAAAAAAAAAATCTTCAATTTGGCTAATGGGTTTTTGATTATAGCTTTAGAGTGAGAAGAAATTGTGTTTGTTTCAGTCACAGCTCAAGAGATTTGCAAAAGATGATGGACATTTTTCCCTGAACTATGACCGTAAAAGGGGAAAAAGGACACTTACTTTTTCTGATGTTGATCTGAAGAAGCAATTGCAAGCATGGAGAGAAAATCCTTCGTGGGCTGATCAACATTCAGAAATAAAGGTGAGGAATGTTCTCCTTTCCTTTTTTTTTTCCGGTTAATTTTGCCTAAGGTTAATTACATTAATATATGTTAAAACTTCACTTAAAAGATCATCAGTCTTTAGTTGGGTTTGGGCATGTATAACCTCAGTTATTGCACTTCCCGTATTTTTGAGCATCTGAAATGTAATACTAAATCAGCGTGCCAATTTTAAATTTTAGCATCTGAGTAAGAAAATTACACTCTGACATAATGTTATTTTTTATCCTAAATTTGTTACATAATGTCAAATTTGGCACTAAGTACAGCTTATATTAAATATTAACATTTGGTAGCTATTGGTTTATGTATTGAGTTTCTCATTTAGTGAACTTTGTCCTTTTCAAATTGTTTAAAAATTTAAAGTTTTTTTTTTTTTTTTTTTTTTTTCAAATTCCAAAGCTTAGTAAGTATGACGAAAGTAGATATAGCATTTGACGTTGCATTATGCATTGGGAAATAAAATAGAATAAAATATCAAATATACTATTTTCATCTTTTTTAGTGTTAAATATAGCATTGACATTTGTATTTACGTTGGAAATGTTCATGGTATATAAATTCAGTTCTGTTAATGTTTTTTCCCCGAGTGTTTTTTGATGGTTTTAAAGGGTCCTTTCTTTTACATTTTTTATTGCTCCTTCTTAGAATATATGTAGATCAAGGTCCCTTGGGTGAAAAATGTTGTTACTCTTGGCAGGTCAGTGTACCAAAAGGTTCTCTTTGCAACCTCAAAGTGAATGTCAATGTTGGGTTGCCTCCTGATGCAGTGTTCAATATCGTGATTGACCCTGATAATAAGAAAGTTTTCAAAAATATTAAGGTAAGTTGTATCACAACCTTTTAAATAATTGCTCTATTAATCTTTTTTTTATGCTTATGATCTTAAACAAAGTTTAAAAGAAGAAGAGCAAGAATTTATAAGTTTTTATCTTCCCAGGAAGTGATATCCAGAAAAGTTTTGGTCGATGAAGGTCATAGGCAGGTGGTTGAGTTAGAGCAAGCAGCTTTGTGGAAATTCCTTTGGTGGTCAGGAACCATAGCCGTTCATGTTTTAGTTGATCAAAATAGAGAAGATCACTCAGTAAGGACTCTTCACTTATTCTTGTTGATTTCACAATGATATTATTAAATTGAGGTTTCTACTTGTTCCCATGAGTCTTTCAAATCATAAGTTCGGCCAAATTACCGAATCTTTGACTTTAGAAACTCGCAGGGGTTAAAACAAGCTCGAGGTTTAGGATAAGATCATTTTATGTTGCATTGACCGCACTTTTGTTACAAAGATTATGTAATGGGAAAATTAAGTCTCATTTTCTCTGTAATAACCGTCCTTGTCAGATGAAATTCAAGCAAGTGAAAACGGGGTTTATGAAAAAATTTGAAGGTTGCTGGAGAGTGGAACCTTTGTTTGTTGATGAGAAGTTATGCTTTCCCTTGAAGCCTAAGTCGTGGTCAGAGTATTGCTCATGCACTGGAGGCAAAGGAAGGCTTGGATCAAAGGTGAGCTTGGAGCAGCTGATTCAACCGGCAATCGTTCCGCCTCCGCCCATTTCGTGGTATCTGAGAGGTATTACCACCAGAACCACAGAGATGCTGATAAATGATCTGCGTGCTGAAGCTGCGAGAATCAGGGGTGATTTAGGCCCTGAAAAGTCTAACAAAGAGTTTGAATTGTCTGAAGATTTACTCTCTGAAATTGATAATGTTTCTGATATTAAAAAAAGATGGGCTCTCCGTAGGAGCAATGCAAAGCAATGTCACAGGAGGCTACTGAGTGCCAATTGATTTGTTCTTTAGGTTCTTAAGCAGATATGCCAACGTTTGAAAGATTACGGAAATTAATTTTCTTCTTTTTAGTTTCCTCTTGTTTTATTGACATCTCAAGATGCTACAAGTGATTATCCAAATTTACTGAAAAATTCTTGTTTTTATGTTTTTGAAGAGTCTGTCTTTCAACTTCTCCCTGAAAAGGGGATTTGGTTCAATAAATACATACGTCAGAATGCATAAACGTGTATATACACATTTAAATATATAAAAGTATATTTCTATATATGTAAATATGTGTGTGTAATATTTGCACTTTGCGTGGCAGACTATTAAGTGATAAATGATTGAATTTATTGAATAAAAAGGCAGAATTAGAAAATTTTGAGCCCAATCATTTATTGAATTACAAGGCAAAATTAAAATATCTTGAACCAAAAAGGATTACAAACATAGAGATAATGTTACAAACAAGCAAAAGAAACATATTGTCTACTCGTAAAAGAGTTGTTTCTCTCTCATAACTTGATTTTCGAGTGATATATATATATTACAGTTTATCTCTAACTCTCAACTACGTCGCACTTATATATGTCAACCAAGCCTCGGCCCCTTTGGACATGCAAAGGGTGCACACAGGCAGCCAGAGATTGCCCCTTTTATCGCCCCACATCCGAATACTAAGAGAAGTGGATACAGATTCTAATTAACATAAACACTACACTCTATACTTTCGTTATCATTCCATTCCCCGTTTAGAGGACCGTGAATCTTGTACCCTGCGTGAGATGCGCTTAGGGGGGATTGTTGTACCAACTGACGAACTATGGAGTCGCCAAAGCCATGCTTTTCATAGCTCGTGAACGCACCCAATGCTCCGAGAAATCCTTCGTGTCTCAGAAACAAAGCTTTCGCCTCACCTTTAGACCTGAAAAAAGATATTAGGGAGGAGAAAAAAAAAATGATGTCGTAATGAACAGCCATACGAGGAAACATACTAGACATAGATTATAACAAAATGCAGTCATATCGAAAAACCAAATAATTCTCATTTTACCAGAAGTTTACTCCAACGGATATTGTGTCCATGGTGTAAGCATGACCCCTGATGAAGAACCCTCCAAAGAATATCCGCTTGAGTCCAAAGCGGAGAGCATTCAAGTATGAGATCTAAAGGAAGATTTCAGTATCAGACAAATATTAAGCCACTTTCCCCCCGAGACATGTTCATTATTTCATAATATATCACCAAATTGAATGTTAGCAGTGGTTTCTATTTCTTGCATGCAAAAATTGAGGCATCTGACCTGTCCAATATTGTTTGAAATCATTCTTAAGAGGGACCGAGCAACATCTTCGGCGTTGTAATCTTCAATCTCCTTATTGTCAGAAATTGCCTTGCCAAAGCTAGAAGCAATAGTAGTTGATGAAAGACCAAACTGAAACAATTAGAAAAGTCACATTGCAGCAAACAAAACCCAGGATGGGAAAATTAGACGGGAGAAAAGAAAACTCGCATCACCATCGCATACCTTGGTGTAGTCCATTCCACCGTAGATGTCCCCAACAAGCATGTCTATCACTCGGTTATTTCCTCGATGACTTAACTCCAGTAACTCATCAAAACTGCGGTAGGAATCACATATTCAGTCTTTTATATGAAAAATCAGGTAATAGCGTCCTTAAATTAATATCAACAGAATGGTGAATATTGGTCGTTCTATGAAACTACGCAGAAGAATAACTGACCTCTCGCACTTCGTCAAAAGCCTTCCCAAACCCCAGAAGGTTCCACCACCAACATTGGTTCCGCTCACTCTCTCATATTTGCCATCCCCATCTACCTATACAAGCACAAGACTCAGTACCATTATCAACTCCTAGAAAGATTCAGATCTGCGAAACATTAAAGTGACTGGAGTAATTAATGCATGGAAGATACTTTGATCATACTGACACCAGAACCAATATTGACAAGCAGATATGGGTATAAATCATCACGGTCAATCTGCACAAACTCCTTGCGACCGTCAATGTAAGTATAGGCTTCTTCATGAACTGCCTGCTCAGAGAATGATCGAAGGGCCAACTTTATTAGTCAAATAAAACCATAATGTGCAGTACACCAGTACATGAAATGTGGTACTAGAATCCCACCTTAAGCAGAAAGTTTGCCCCGGCCACTAGACAATCCATTTCATCTTCCTTGTCAAGGAAAATTCCAAGTTTTTCCTTAAAGAGATCTGCATTCTTGTACGCCCCTCCACCTGTGGCCTTCTCATTAAAATTAACTTGTCAAAAGAAAATACAAAGAGTTTTATCCAGATGAAAAACAGCATAATTAGACAGTCTCTTCAATATCATGACATCAAAATCTCAAAAACTACTATTACCTTAATAATACGCTTTTCATTGCCAGGAGCTCCACCATGCTGGCAGCCTGCAATCATCTAGTAGACTTAGTGTTTGGTATGAGGATTCGTGCCATGGTTCGAATCATGGTTCGTGGCTTGTTACAGTGTTTTCTCTCATATAAAACACATGTAAATCGAGAATGGTTCTGAATCATAGTTCTGAATCCGTGAACCAAACGTCGAACACTAGACATTCAGAATTCAAAAGCATCTAAAAGAGAAATTGCAACTTCTCAAAAAAAAAAAAAAAAAAAAAAAAAAAAAAAAAAACACAA